TTTGTGGCTGTCATAAACCTACTTTTATACAAATGTAGAAATAAACCATGTCTCCTTCTTCCGTTTGTCTACTTCACATGAGAATCATAAGAGTCAGAGATTGAGTCATGTTGAACGAGTTGGAGCTTGTCAATATATATGAAGAACCTTTTAATATTTTCCCTTGTTAAAGTGGCCATGTCGATTGCCTCTTTCTTGTCCACATACACCCACAGCTCACCCGAGTCTATTCTTTTTAGGCTTACTCGACAAAACGGGCAAGACATTGATATTCTTCTCCTGCAATTTCTTCCAGGAGTGAATCTTCGGGTTTTTGTATGCAAGAAATAGCAATGTACTAGGAGTGAATCTTCGGGTTTTTGTATGCAAGAAATAGCAATGTACTTTGACTTATTTATGTATTCCAAACAATTTCTTATTAAGAAATCAACCAAGTACATTGCTCTTTCTTGCACCATAGTGACGAGGTAGAGAAACATATTATATATACCAGTCATCATAGCAACCACAACACATTTCATGGCTACATTTTGGTAAAACAAGTTTGTCTTTTGTTTCCATGCAAATACCACATTCTTCTTCTGATTCAATATCAATATCTGAACAATATCAACTTTCATTGTTGTCTTCTCGTTTAGAATATTGTTCCACACTTGTCCTTTTCTGCTTTCTATCTTCTGAATTCATGACTCCACTTTGAAGTTGCATTAAAGATGGATATATAATACCTTCATTGTAAAATGGTTATTTGGTCTCATTCAGACAGTTTATTCAGTCTAAGAAAAGAAAACAAACATTACGTATACTACGGTTTATCCAAATAGACATCATTAAACAACCCTTTAATCCACTAAGCTATAAACATTCTTCAATATTCATCTAGACAAATACTTGTTGACATAAGAAAGATGGTGAAAGAAAATTAAGACCATACCATAGAATTCTCTAATACTCGCCTTTCTTTCATGCGTAGACATGGATGTGGAGCCATCAACGTAAACCTGTAGCATATACAATCAAGAAATAAGTAACTTTAAGGAAAAGCTGGAAAACAAGAAGATAATATGAATTAAAGGGATATATGATTAAAAGATTATTTACATAATGAAAAAAGTTGGGATTTTTGACCTTGTAAATCAAGATTCTTAACAACCCTAGAGCACCTGCAAGGTGGCAATCGGACCATTGAACAAAGAAAAGCAAAAACTATGCTGCTGCGCTATAAGACATTCGCATATGTACATTTGCCCCATCGTACTCCCTTTGTAAATCCGAACCTCTGCAAATCCATAACATATGGTAACAAAAACATCAAAATTCATATTGGTTTTGAACTTAAATTTTAGCAAATTTGATTAAAAGTCAAAATCTATATTCCATTTTTCAACGAACTGAGAAAAGAAAGCATTGTTCATGGATGGAAATTGGAATAGAGATTAACTTCACAAGTATAAGTGTTTCTTTCTTATTTAAGGACACTAAAATACTTTACTTAGAAAAACAAATTTAAATCTAAGTACGCCTTGGGTTAAAAAAGATAACTCTATCACTATAAACTTGCTTGATAACCTAAAAAGGCGACACCTTTTGGAAGCAATAATTAAGTAAAACAGAAATCGAAAGAAAGCCGAGTTAGAACAACCCCAAATCAACGATTGCTCTAAATATATTAAAAGAGAAAAAAAAAACCCACAGAAATTCCTCATGTCGACATAAAAACAGAGTGAAGCGGTCGAATTCTTACAGAGTATTAGCATGTTGAATATCTGCTTCAAGAACTTTGAGAGAATCCTTGAAGGATTTTCTCATTAATCCTCCTACATACATCTATTATTGCTCCCTCTATCTAATTTTACATAAACCCTAGAATTGTATTAACTTTCTCTATCTAGAAACAGACTTGAATGGGACTGTGGTGATGAGGTTTGTTTGTCTCTATCTTGTTAACAAAATCATGGAGGAACTGTGTCACTGTCAAGATGCAACGTGGAGTTGAGGATAGAGTAACACGTAGGCCTTTGAAGTTTTCTTGAAAGGATTGCTATTTGTAGTAATGTGTGTAGTTGTTTAATGTGGAAAAATGTGGCTACATCCTTACCTCGAGAGCTTTGTTTCAGTAAAGACCCTTGTTTTTCGGATTATGACAATAGAGACCATTTCATATTCTTTATAGTTAAGTGATCTCAAAATTCAATATTGTTGAAGAAACATTTTATTTATTTTAGAAATATGATTATTTTAGTTGGTATTGTTGTATTATAGTAACAAACAATTACTAAACTCTCCTATTTAAGATTGTTGGTTCTAACCTTGTAAAAATTCCCAGTACATGGATGGACAACTCTAAAATTTTCGTCGACATCTATAAATGTTTTATTTGCAAAAAGGTTGTCATTTAATGATTTATTTTCAAGTATTAATTTGATATGGTGATTTGAATTGGAAGTTGAAAGTCTGATGAGCCTCGAATTTATTGCAGGATAGGGCTATGTCATATGTGGGTTCTAAGTGTCTAATGATTATATGGTGTTGTAAGGCACTATGTGGCATTATGATGTTCGAGTATTCAAACAAACATCTTTTATGCTATAGAACTTGTTGGCATCCTTAATATCCATGAAGGAAATAAAATATGTAATGAGAGTGTTGTATTTGAGTCATATTCTGTGTTCTGTGTTTGTTCTGACAATTAAAACTCATGATAGCTCTACTTATTTGATAATTAAAACTCATGATAGCTCTACTTATTTGTCATTTGAGTCATATTCTGTGTTCTGAAAATTAAAATTTTTTTTATGAAAAACTAATCTAAGTAGATTTTTAAAAAACTAGTTTTTTAGCTTGACAAAATGACAATTAAAAAAAAATTAAAAATAAAATATTTACTAGCTTGTCATGTAATTATGTTGTACCAAACATAATCTAAATATTTTTTATATACATATTTGTTTGGTAAATATATAATAATAGAAACGGGCATATAAAAAAATAAGTTATATGTTTTGATTTATGAATAAAAAATATTAAAACTAATTGATTAAAACAAATAAAACTTTAACCACTTCATTTCTCTAACTTTTTTGTCTTCGTATTTTTTTTAGCCATAATCATCCACGTCAGAGTCAATACAAGTGAATATATATATATATATATATATATATATATATATATATATATATATATATATATATATATATATATATATATATATATATATATATTCCTTATGATTTTTTTGTGTAATTATCCATATTCGGAGACAATCCGAGTGAAAAAAATAAAATCGTTCTTAACCTTTTTCCTTATTATTTTTTGTTATTATTTATAACTGAATAAAAAAGAAATTAATGTTGCGCACGAGTTGGATTCTTTGTCTCTCGCTCACGACTCATTCATTTCTGCCGACCACTACAACTTCTCATTCGGCGAAGATGAGTCAAGAATTGTCGAAAGGTGAGGTGGCGGTGTCGATCGTTAGAGTGTTTTAGAGAGAGTGATATGAGGAATACGTGTGAGAGAGCCAGAGAACTAAAAACATTTTTTTTAACTTATAAATAAAATAAATTAAAAAAACCAATAATAATAATAATAATAATAATAATAATAATAATAATAATAATAATAATAATAATAATAATAATAATAATAATAATAGATAAAGATATTATAGTTATTTAATAGCAAAACCAAACCACATAAAATGTCCGAGTAAAAAAGAGAAAATATGATCCAAAACAAACAAATTGTACTAAACGGCAAGGACGATTCATGTAATTTACTCATGAAATTATGAATTTCGTTTGGGATAATGACTTCAGAGGGTAACATACTTTTGATTTTGATCACATTTGGTCACTGAACTTTTTTTCGTGCTCTATTAACCCTTTAACTTGTTGATTTGTGAAAAATTTTCCCCTTCCGACCGGGTTTAGCCGGTTTCAAACGGTTTATTGATCCTACGTGTATTTTTTTATCTTACGTGGCGAAAGAGGTGGCATGTAGGGCCCGATTTTTCGTCTCCGTCTCATTAAACCACACCCCGAAGTCTCATTTGGTCCTTAAACTCGACTAGGTCACGGAATTCTCCATCGACCATTCATCTCCTTCAACCGTTCTATGGCATCATCTCCAAATCCTACTGATCAGAACTTCATTGTAGTGGATTTCCACTACAATGGTCAGTTTGCACCCAATCCCTTAGTTTACTTTGATCCCAACAGAGCATCAGTGCGAGATGTTGACTTCAGTGGGTTTGGGTATGAGCAATTCATGGAATTCCTTCACAAGCTCACCAACTCGAGAAGCAAAGACATCTATTTCTGCCTTCCACAAGAGTCTTTAGGTCTTGGAATTCATACACTGGTGAACAACAGTGATTACAAGGAATTTTTGGATTTGGCGTATGCTAATGACAAGAGAATGAATGTATATGTGGATCACCATAATGAACCTATCTTCGACTGGATTGAGGCTGAGGAAAGTGAAAGTGAAAACGAAGACTTAGATGAAGATGAGGATTCAGTTATTCAAGATTCATATTCTGTTGATCATGAAGAAGATGATGCTACCTATCCATTTCCAGCAAACAAAACTGCACGTGATAGATTTTTAAACATCCTTTGTGAACCTATAGAGAGTGAAGATCAAGATGATGAATACGTGCCACCCCAGTACCCTGTGTATGATGAGAGACAGCCATGGGATCAGATGAAACCAATTATAGGTATGCGATTTTCTAACCCTACTGAGCTTAAACATATGTTAAGCAATTATGCAGTTGCTAATGGGTATGATCTATGGTTTGAAAAAAATGACTCTGATAGATTGTTAGTGAAATGTTGCAAAAAGAATAAGTCACCATCTTGCCCTTTCAGACTATGGGCCTCCTGGATGGGTAAAGAAAAGACTTTTCAGATCAAATCTCTAGTGATGAACATAATTGTTGTAGGGTGTTTAAGTTTGGGTCAATTGTAACTTATAGATGGATAGGGAAACATTTTATGAGTCAAATTATAGAGAACCCCAAAATGAGTGCAAGGAAGATGAAAGCTAAAGTGTCAACAACATTCAACATAAATGTGAGTGTGGGGCAATGCAGAAATGCAAAGAAATTTGCATTACAAGAGATTGAAGGAAGTTTAATTGAACATTATGGGAGATTGTGGTCATATGGTGAGGAAATTATCAGGTCAAATCCTGGGTCTACTGTGAGATTGGATGTAGACATCATGCCAGATTCCACAACTTTGTTTTCTAAGTTTTATGTGTGTTTCAAAGCTGTAAGGGATGGTTGGTTAGAAGGGTGCAGGCCAGTAATTGGGCTTGATGGTTGCTTTTTAAAGGGTATAGTTAGAGGAGAAGTTATTTCAGCTGTTGGGAGAGATGCAAACAACCACATCTACCCTTTAGCATGGGCTGTGGTATGTGTTGAGAATAAAGAAACATGGAAGTGGTTCATAGATTTGCTTATGGATGACATTAATGGTGGTCTTGGTGCAGGCATTACCCTTCTTTCTGATGGACACAAGGTTAGTACTAGGTCATTTTTATGCTTCATTTTTATGCTTTTTCACTCATAATGATGTTGTGATTTGTAGGGGTTATTACAAGCAGTTAAGGAAAGATGTCCAGAAGCTGAACATAGACAATGTGACATTCTGGCCAATTTTAATAAAAGGTTTACTGGTCAACAATACATAAAGTTATTTTGGAGGGCTATAAGGGCTAGTACTGTGGAGAAGTTCAGAGGTGTAATGGAGAACATCAAATCTATTGATACTCATGCTTATGATTACCTTATAGACAGAGATCCTACTACCTGGTCTAAGGCATTCTTTCAAGAAGGAAGAGACTGTGATGCAGTGGAGAATGGGGTCAGTGAGAGTTTCAATTCTGCTATTAGGCATGCTAGAAGGAGACCTATAATCACTATGCTGGAGGAGATTAGGTTATTTGTGATGGAAAGGATATACACTCAAAGAGTTGAAGGAATGGAATGGGATTTGCTTATATGTCCAACTATTAGGAAGCGTATAGAACATCTGAAGGTTAAACAGAGGTAATTATTTTACTTTAATATGCTTATGTTAATTATGAGGATGTGTTATTGATTCACTGATGTTAATATGCTTAAACAGATTGTGGGGAGTTACTCCTTGTGGTTATCAAAAGTATGAGGTTAGATTCACTGATGTTGCATATGGAGTGGATCTAATTGCAAAGAAGTGTGCCTGTAGAATATGGCAACTTACAGGGATACCATGCTTACATGGAGTGGCAGCAATATCTTACTTAAATCATGATGCTGAGGCATATGTGTCCCAATCATACACTACTGAGGCTTACCTAAAATGCTACAAATATAGCATTAATCCTCTCAATAGTAGTGAAATGTGGCCAGATGTTCCATACCATAAGCCTTTGCCTCCCAAAAGAAGAAGATTACCTGGTAGGCCATCTGTGAAAAGGAAGAGGGATGCAATTGAACGAGAGTTGAGTGGATCAAGTAGACAAATGTCTCAAGAAGGGTAGCATAATAAAGTGTGGTATTTGTAAGGAACCAGGTCACAACAAGAAAAAGTGTCCATCTAACCAACAAAGCAATACATCAGGTGAATATTTTTAAAAAAATTACATCATTTGAACAAAGAATTGACATTTTAATTTTTGTTTGCAGTACCAAGTTCATCCAGGGGCAGTGGAGCAGACCCAAGTTTATCTAGGGGCAATGAAGGACCACCACCTCCTCCACCACCACCTGCAGCCCAACAACCTCCTCCACCACCACCTGCAGCCCCCATGCCAAGAAGAAGGGTCCCAGTTAGTAGAAGTGGAAGGAGGAAATATTCTGAACGGATTATCAAACAAGCATTAAGGAGGCAGATACCTGGGGTTGGGAGCAATGCAGATAACCCTTCAGTTATTGATTAATTTAGGGGATAATAGTGGGTGGGTAGGAATATCTTTTGTAAGGCAGTTGTGATGTAAAGACAAAGTAGTAGTCTTTTTATTATGCTTTTCTATGGTACTATCAAGTAGGTGTATGGGCACATGGTGGCCCTTCTTTTGTCTATGCAGGAATCTTTTGTGTTACCTAGAAACTACTTTTGTGTATGCAGACAAAAACTTATATAACTGTAGAATATTAATGGCGTATTACAATGAATCCAACCACCACATTCACTTACTTTTTTTATTATATGTATTTGTTATATGTATGCTACTTTGTGATTCCATTCCAGTCAAAACTAATTCTTTATATGCATGCTACTTTGTGATTCCATTCCAGTCAAAACTAATTCTTTATATGCATGCTACTTTGTGATTCCATTCCAGTCAAAACTAATTCTTTATATGCATGCTACTTTGTGATTCTATTCCAGTCAAAATCAAATATGTATTCATTGTTATATGTATGCTTCCTTATGATTCCATTCCAGTCAAAAATATTTCTTGGTGATTCCATTCCAGTCAAAGTTACTTCATTCCATTCTTTGTGATTCCATTCCAATCAAAGTTAATATGTATGCAGTTAATATGTATGCTTCTTTATAATTAAATTTTCCATTACAATCAATGTTACTTCATTCCATTCCAACAAGAAGTTAAGATAACAACTCTATTCTATTCAAACAACATCTTTCAATACATCATGTGACTTCATTTCATCATATACACGATGATCAGAAAAAGAAATCCAATGGTAAACTTATATATTTTCTCCTTCATTGCAATGGCATCAGAGTACTTTTCCTTCTTCATCTGTTCCATGTCTTCCTTCACCTTCTCTACTTCGGTCTTCAATGCTACTAATTCAGCTTTCATTCCCTCCACCACTTCCATCAGAGGCATCTGTACAAGTTCTACATCCAACCATTTCCAATATTTGCATTTACCCTTCCACAATAAAATTTCAAAGTGAGATTTCAAATCTGGAATAAATGAATCAGAAAAGAGGGGAAATTTAAGTGAAATTGCTTACCTCATTGCACACCATGAAATGCCTCCCTGGATTCTTTGGTGTTGTTGATGTTAGAATACGTGCAGGGAACCCACAATCACAAGTTTTTGGATCATTCACTGTGGATTTCTTGCTTGATCGATTGAGGGAGGATGAGATGCTGTAGGAGGAAGCCATCGGGTATTAGGGCAACGGGGTATTAGAGCACAATAAATGAACAACAAACGCCCCTCCTTTAATAACAAGAACCCTAGATGCCAGTTAGGATCAAAACTGACACGTAGGATCAATAAATTCATTGAAACCGGCAAAAACCAGTCGGAAGGGGAAAATTTGCACAAATCAACAAGTTAAAGGGGTTAATAGAGTACGAAAAAAAGTTCAGTGACCAAATGTGATCAAAATCAAAAGTATGTTACCCTCTGAAGTCATTATCCCATTTCGTTTTGGGTTCAAAAAGTGATATTTAATAGTGTCGAAGAAATGCAATAGAGAAAACAACTGTAGGTACTAAAATTACAATTATTGATAAGATAAAGATACCACTAGAATCCCTTATCCTGTTATCCATTTGCATACTTATTTGTCTATTTGCGTTATAAATATTTGTGCAAAAATAAATGTTACATTTAGAAAAATATTTGTCTATTTGCTAACTCGTTAAATATTTGTCTATTTGGGTTATAAATATTTGTACAGAAATAAATGTTACATTTAGAAAAATATTTGTCTATTTGCTAACTCCTTAAACAAGGTTCACGTTTTTTTCCCAATGTCAGGACTCCTTTTTGATCGTTGACTTTCTTTTTATCACATTGATATGGTATTATGGTATTCTAAAATATGTTATTGTTTTTTTTTTAAAGAATTTCTCTAATGAGAGCTTTCGGACCAACTTTTGTGTACCGGTTAATCCTCCACTACAAATTTGAGGTTATGTCTCATGTACTGGAATCAATACATGCGAACTTCCATGGCCAGGATTTTAATATTGGTCAATAAGTTATCTATCATATCTTTTATATGTCTTACCAAGTCACCATAATCCAAATGGTTAAACTAATTCATATGATTATATAATTTAATTTATTGTTTTTATAAGTAGAATAAAAAATATAATAGAGTAGAATTTCTTTGGGCAAAACATAACTTTATCAATTTAAGAATTTAAGATCTCTATTACTTGGTAACTTTTTTTATGTGAATAAGTTCATAAAGACAAGCCAGACTTGTAGCTTCAAAGAAAGAATCAAAACCACATTTTTATGTGAATAAGTTCATAAAGATAAACCGACTTGCAGCCCAATGAAGATAGTCGATGATATCCAGTTAATCTCTTTCAATTTGTTGAAATATAGAGGGATGTTTAGTTCTTTAAATTGGTTTGATAGATGTAATTCTTCTGTTTCTCTTGTTTGTATGTTGTAATTTGTCTAGCATGATGCTGGTTTCGTTTTAATGTGATTCTGTTGTTCGAAAAAAAAAAAACAAAAAAAAAACGTTATTAATATATATGAAGGCAGACGATTTTTATTGATATGTCGAAGGACTGACCAAAGGCTATTCAAAGGAGATCCCAAAAGCAGACTTTACTTTTTTGCCAAGGAAAAGAGGAAGAGGAAGCAAAGTCAAGATTTTAGACATTAATTCTTTGAAAGCAAAAATGCATCATTTCGTAGGCCATTACGTGTATTTTCCATCAGATATGGAACATTAACTAGATCACCATAAATGCTTGTATATAATAAAAGCAACCCGGCTTTATACAAATGTTCATTCTGCACTTTCTGACTTATAGTATATCATAGTCTAAGCTTTATTTGACACCTATATAAATTTCAAATACGTAAAATAGTAAAATGACATTAAAATCACTAACAGTCATCCCCTAATTTACAATAACATTTGAATTTAGTCATTTACACGAAAAGGTAAACAAACATAAACTTGTGCATAGATGATAACTGTCCTGAAAAAAAAAAGGATGAAGACGAAATCTACATATTGCACCAAACCACGATAAGCATTCGGGTAATTTACTCTTAGTTGTAAGTACACCAAGAAGAGATCCACTTATTATAGATTTATTTTCTTAACATTTCATCTAATACGTGCTACTAGCTAGGCAATGAACAACTAAAGATATTCAGGAACATAAAAAAGAAGGTCGAGCATAGATGTTCGCTTACATAGCATAGCGTATTGGTAGTTATGGTTCAAGGATGGGTCCATTGAAAAATGACTCCATAACTATTTATTGCACTTTATTGATACATGATAATTTAAAAAATAATTATTATTTCAAAATTTTCTCTATCTAACCATGTCGATTCCTAGGGCGAAAAGAAAACAAATAGACCCCACTATTATTATTCAAAAAAACAAATATATTACAAAAACAACTAATTTAAAGAAAAATATTTCTCCTAACATTTTTAAATAAGTTAGTTTTTTTATCTATAATTATATCATATACTTTAGTAATTTTGGGCTCCTTAGAAACATAAGCTCACATCTAACCATGTTGATATTCCTTTTCATGATTTGTCATAAACATAGCTCTTTAAATAACAATTCTCATAAAACATCCACTAAAATAGAACATGAATAAAAATATGTTTCATTTAACAAGCAATTTATCCTAACAAAAATGTAAAAGTTTCATACAACCATAAGTTTGAATACCATGGATCCATAACAATACATAATCTTACAAAATTGCTCAAAATCTTTACCACTAACCCGATCCATTATCACGAGCACCTACGAGGCTACGACACTCCTAAACTGCTTTAAAATCTCGGAGGACGTCACAATTCCAACCAACGTATAGTCCTCTTGAACCACCCACGCATAACTAACACGAAGCGCAATCATTTGAACCATAACCGCCATTAAACTATTCCACGGATGACACACAATCGCAGTCGACCGCCTCCCGGGGTAAATCGACCGCCCCACCGCACCATTTTTGGTACTCCCGAATTCCTCATCTGACGAGCAACACGAAGAAGAAGATGACGACGGGTTGTAGTAGTCATCCATAAGGTCCAACATCGCGCTCAAATTCCTCTCTTGTAAACGCATCTTGACCAAGTGGACCAAATTATCAGACGGACCATTATGGTCGATATACGCCATGAGATCCCCCGCAGAGAGGGTTGCAATTGCCGCCGCTACAGTTTCGTCGCAACACGTGAGGGTAAAAGGGGAAATTTCTCCTAGTAAACGGTTATCTTTGTTGATAACTGCGATTGAGGTTTGAGCTGAGAGTGAGTGTGAAATTAAGGGTAGGGTAGAAATGGCGGGGTCTTCGTAGTGGATTGTGAGTGTTTGCTTAGTGATTATGTTTAGATCTTCTATGGTGAATGTAGGTATGGGTGAAAAGACACCGATCGCGTTTAGGAGGAAACGAAAGACATCTTCTCGGGTTAGCCAACAAAATTCTTGAGTGTAATGAAGAGTAGGGGCATGAAGGGGAGATTGTGTAAGTTGGCTTTTCCTTAAATTGGTTCTTGCATTGTTATGTATTGGTATTACTAAGTTTTGAGCTCCTTCAAGTATGCAATCTATTGCCTCCAAGAGACTAGAAAAATAAAAAACATAAAAAGAGATGTAATAAATGATGGTTTCATGAATGTAAATGAGTATGGAGTTTGAATATGTTTCATGTTTATGCACACGAAGAAATTTTATATATTTATTTTAACATTACTCGTTTTTGTTATTTATGATGATATTTTCACATGAATGGTGGGATCTGCTTTACAATTTGAGGTCAATCATACGTAACCTCCATAATATATTTTTACTTGCACTTATGGATCTTAAAAGTAACAATTGACTATTTGAACAAGATGTAGAGTGAAAAATATTTTATTGAGGTCTGATTGCTTCTAGATAATCTGAAGTATTTTACAATAGTTTGAAGCAACTTCAATGAATCATATTATATTATAATATTATATTATCTATAACTGAGATCCCTTTTTGTTCTTTTTGAACAGGTGAGATTTTGAGCATAAAAAATTTAATGTAATTCAAATCACATCACACCAACCCTTTAACTTTCATAAGGAGTGATTCGCCATTTTCTTCATGTATTAAAAGATATCTGACTGAATTCATTAATTTCCATTTTTGGTGTTAAATACACTGTTGTTTTTCAGGGAAATAATGTAGTACAGAGTCCCTTTTTATGGGAGAAATAATACCCTACGTAAACGGAACTTACAACTAATTTCATTTCGGAATCAATTCTAGATCTAATTCATACCTAATACCTTTCATGTATCTTGCAAATCTATCTGATAAAATTAATCAACTTTCAATCTAGGTTTTACATAACCCTCTTGATAAAATTTACTTATTTACGGTCCTTTTCATGCGAGAAAACAGATCCTTAAGAAGCTAAACTTAAACCTACATTAACTAATGAATTAAATTACGTCGACAATTTCATTCCAGGAACAATTCTAGATGAATTCATGTAATTCACCCATTTCAACTTTGACCTACCAAGCAATTTGCATTAAATTCTATTGATTTTGATTGTTAAAAATCAATAAACAATCAAAGGCAAAACAAAAGAATCGTAAAACGAACCTCGAATTCGGTTCCAGATGTCTAATTTGCCCTTTCACCTTCGTAACCAGATCCGAAACGTTCGATTGAAGCGCATCCAATGGATGCGACAGATTCTCTTCTTTACAGAGATGAACAATCACATCAACCATACAGATCTTCCCCACACATCGACAACACCCGGTGTCATTACATGCCACCACAGAATTGGAATGTTCCGAGCTCCATACGCTTACATAGATCTCTCCTGACGTTTTTAGGGCAAGCACCGCGTCCGCGATGGTAGCGGTGGTCGGTAACGGCCTCAACGGCGGCTTTCCTAGGCACAAGTCGGAGATTTCGCTCGCCAAGAAGCTAATTGCCATACAATATTACAATGGAGTTGAAATTATGGACGAGCCTTTAGCGGTTTATGGAATATTCGTTTTTCTGATCAAATGGCATGAAGCTTCGGTATTTATAGGGGGAGGGAGAATCGAAAAAAGGATTGGACGATTTTACGAATCCGATCCTTTGTTATTTAAATATGTGCAGTTTCTACCATGAATTAAGTTTAATGATAAATTTGGTATAGATTTATTGTAATCCAACGAAACTTATCATCATCATCATCATCATCATCATCATCATCATCGGTCGAAGTGGAGCTCACTCTCTCACAAATAAATAATTTGATTGGAAATTAACTTCGTAAGGTCTCGTTTTCAACAGCATATTTCGTATGTTATTTCAATTGAGACGTTTGTCTATTGTATTTTTTTTCTTTTGTATTTGATATTTATTTCTTTTAATTTGTAACTAGGTTATAACATGTGTAAACCATAGATTATAATAAATATGTTTATATAATAGGATGAAAAATTATTTAATTATACAATCGGTGAAAAAAGATATATAATTCATCATTAACAAACAAATAATAAAATATAGAAAGATTATATCTATAAAGGTAAGTGAGATATTTAGGATACATTAAAAATCTAACATAATTAAAATCATAATGATTTTATTAGATAAAAAATCAAAATTGTGGTATTTGTCTTTACAATTTGAATGTGATTTCAAATCTAGAAGCAATGATATGATATTGAGTTTAATTTTAGAAAATAAAATAAGAAATTTAGAAAAAAGACATTTATGTTTTGTTTAGAAAAAAGACATTGTCAAAAATTAGTCTAGAAAAAAGACATTTATGTTTTGTTTATTAGAATAAGATAAATACATAGATATTATGGGTATTTTTGTTAAACTTTATGAGTAAATATTATATAGTTAAATAATTTTATATAGATATTACCGATAAATGAAAATATATTGTTTGTTAACATGCTAAAGGAAGATGATTTGTACACAATAATTTTTCTCCATACACAACAATTGGTGTTTTAAAATATTATAATGTACAACTATATAATACATAAATTGTTGTGTCTAACAAAAAACAGTTGTGTATGAATCACTTACCCATGCTAAATGTACTGGCTAACATCAATGGAAAATTGTAAAAGAATACAAGACGTTATGAGGAACATGTAGGTATAAGAATTGATAAAAACACAGAAAAAAAAAAACAGAAAAGTTAACGTCTTTTGCATGATCAAAATAATGATGTTATCCATGAGTCAACTAGTGAAAGTTTTTATTAAAGTTATAGAATCTATAGTCGTTACACACACTAACTTTATATACATTGTTACAATGTTATAGAGATAGAAAGAGAGATTCAAATTATAACAATTGTGCTAGTATTGCTTGCAGATGAAGACCAAAATGTAGCCATCTTTTTAGGTATTCTCATTTAAGCACTGTAGACCTTGGACCAGGGACTATAGATGCTACCATAGAGCATTGGAATTGGCAGGACAATGAGAATCTAGTGCTAGATATCAATAGTGGAAATGAGGTCTAAGGGAAGAAAATGTTCAACAACTCAACAATTTTCCACTTGAAAATTGATCAACCTAAACTTAGATGCATAATACCTACATATTCACTTTATATATATATATATATATATATATATATATATATATATATATATATATATATATATTATATATATATATATATATATATAATATATATATATATATATATATGAAAAAGTGAATATATAACTGTTATGCACCTAAACTTAGGTATAAACTTTTTAAATGACATAGTTTTTAAGAAAACAAATACAATTTCATTTTCTATTAATTTTGTTTTAATAAAATTCCATTGAATTGAGTTAAATTTTGAAATGAAAAAGATGAATTATATAATATCATATTCTTAAAAGGTGTAAAGTTGTCAGATTTAGTAAATAGTTATTCTAAAAAATAATAAAGAGATTTTGCTAAATAAAATAGGATACGTGCATCTGTTAAAAAAAAAAAAAAAAAAAAAAAAAAAGAGAGAGAACTGTATTGTAAGTCAGGTGATAGACTTCGGCTAGGTGGAATTTGAGTTGGAAATGTGTTGAAGTGAACTCCATTGTGTCTTAGTTCCTCGAAAAGCATGAAACATGCTAATCACGTTCTTTCGTCTTGTGAGTTTCCGGCTTCTAAGTGGGAGAAGGTATTCAAATGGGTCGATATATGCTTGTACAGTGTTTGATGTTTATGCTTGGATTGATAAGGTGTGTATTCCCTCGGCTAAGAAGGCTAATTTAGAAGCAATTTCTTGTGTAGTGAGTGGATGTTGTAGCGGTATCCGAATGGCATGGTGTTTAGCGAAAAAAAAAACTCCTTTTAAGGAGTTGTTGTTTGATAGTAGTGTTGAGTTCTCATTTTTGTGATATGTGTCAATAGAAACATAAAGGCTAGGGATTTTTGAGTAATTGGCTCCAAAACTCTCTTTTAGCTATGTCTTAGTAATTATTTTTCTGGTATTTGTTGCTAGTTATTTAACAAAAAATTTACTTTCTCCCTTGCTCTTTAACAAAAAAAATCCAGGTGTTCAAAAAAAAAAATTGCCCTCAATGGTGAACACATAATCTATGGTGCTTTTTTTGGAATTTGCACAACCTCCCAAAAAAAATTATATTGTTACGTCCGTTTCTTCTATTTCAGTTTCCTCGTGTAGAGTTTGGTCTCGTGTCCTTATCTTCAACATTAAAAGCCGTTGGGTATTCAAAAAGCCGAAACAAGAATCCAACTTTTTATTACATCTTCTTCTACCTATTCGTACTGAATAAATACAATGTGGACGTATCAAAAATCTCTTGTCTTAGTTAGGGCCGTGCTTATATGGTAGAGATTTATAAGTAAAGGAAAATACGAAGAAAATAAAAAGAGGTCCTACTTTGTGTAAACTCTAAATATTATGTTTTCTTCTTTGGTAGTAAAGAATTAGTTTAGTTATAAATAAATTAAAGTCATATAATTCTATCAAGGATTAAAGACACTGAATTCTATTTATGAGATAATTGAATGGCGCACAGTTCAATTTGGCCATGTGATGGTGATCGATTCTCTACAATTGCCTTTAAACATAAAGTAGCATAGTAAATGTCATAATAATTATAAGGGCAAAATAATATAAATGACCAGCCACCATTCTAATTCTAACTGCAAAAATAAAATACCAATCAATTTATCAAAGGGTCAATGGCCTAGCGTTATAGAGTGACCATCTCATATGAGAGATTAGTGGTTCAAATCTCGGTGGAGACATATGTGGTTATTTAGGAGTAGATTAGTTAGTTTGTCGTTTCAAAAATAATAATAATAATAATAATAATAATAATAATAATAATAATAATAATAATAATAATAATAATAAGGAAAATTTAGGATTTATGGTGGAGATCTGGATACCAACTTGGATCGTGAGAACAGTTTCCGAACTGATATTTCTACCCTATGCGTGGGTCGCAAGAAATTCAGCCTAGGATAATCCAAGTGGACACTTACGATTCTAGGCACAGACGCTACCTCCAGCATGGTTGCGCAAGGTATGTTGCCTACATTATGGATACCCAGGAGGCGGGTAAGGCGACCTTGAGTGATGTCCCAGCTATACAAGAGTACCTGGACGTATTTCCAAAGGAGTTTCCTAGGATACCTCCGAAGAGACAGGTGGAATTCAGGATCGAATAGTTCCTAGTGCGACTTCGATAGACAATGCACCATATCGGTTGGCTCCTCCCAAAATGCAGTAGTTGTCTACACAACTGCAGGAGCTTATAGACAAGGGATTCATTATGCCGAGCAGTTCACCTTGGGGAGCCCGATCCTGTTAATGAAGAAGAAGGACGGTTCGCATCGGATGTCTATAGATTACCGGGAGTTGAACAAGGTAATGGTGAAGAACCGTTACCCACTCCCGATGATTGATAATCTCTTCGACCAGCTACAGGGGGCATCTTGGTTTTCTAAGATAGATTTGTGTTAAGGCTATCACCAGATGTGAGTCAGAGATGAGGATGTACAGAAGACTGCCTTATGGACTTGCTAATGCCACTACGAGTTTGTAGTGATGCCCTTTGGGCTCACCAATGCTCCTTCCGCATTCATGGACCTAATGAACCGCATATGCAGACCAATTTTGGATTAGTCTGTGATATTCTTTATTGATGACATCTTGGTTTACTCCAAGACGCAGAAGAAGCATAAGGAGCACTTGCGAGAGGTGTTGGATACCCTGAGGAGGGAGAGCTTGTACGCCAAGTTCTCCAAGTGTAAGTTCTGGTTGTACGAGGTGCAGTTTCTGGGGCACCTTGTCAACCAAAATGGTATTTTGGTTGACCCGGCCAAGGTAGAGGCCGTAATGAGATGGGAGGTTCCGAAGTCTCCATCCGAGATTCGGAGTTTCCTTGGTTTAACAGGCTATTATCGAAGATTCATACATGATTTATCCAAAAGAGTGGTACCACTGACCCGACTGACGAAGAAGGCTGTTGTATTTCGCTGGGGGCCGGAGCAGCAGGTAGATTTTGAGACTTTGAGACAGAGATTGTCCGAGGCACAGATATTAGCCCTGCCAGAGGGCGTGGAGGACTTTGTAGTGTATTGTGATGTTCTTATTTTGGGCTTGGGCGCAATGTTAATGCAGAGAGGGCACGTCATTGCCTATGCCTCGAGGCAACTAAAGCCTTACGATACGAACTACCTAACACATGACCTGGAGTTGGGGTGGTTGTTTTCGCCCTCAAGTTTTGACAGCATTACCTCTATGGGGTTCGTTGTACCGTTTACATGGACCACAAGAGCTTGAGGTACCTCAAGGATCAATTGAATCTGAACATGAGGCAACGACGGTGGTTAGATGTGGTAAAGCATTACAAATGTGAGATCCTTTACCACTCGGGAAAGGCCAATGTTGTGGTCGATACAATTAGCCGCCAGGCAACCCCGATCAGAGACATCTGCTTGAGGATGAC